GTCCAGAAGAGAGCAGCCAGGATGGTGAGAGGGTTGGAATCCAAGTCTTATGAGGAAAGGCTGAAAGAGTTGGGTATGTTTAGCCTGGGAAAGAGAAGGCTTAGAGGAGACATGATTGCAGTCTTCAGATATTTGAAGGGCTGTCATTTAGAAGATGGAGCAGATCTATTCTCTCTTCCTCTGGATTGCAAGACTAGATCTAATGGATGGAAATTACAAGGGAGTCGTTACTGGCTAAATGTCAGGAGAAACTTCCTAACTGTAAGAGTGATTGAGCAGTGGAACAGACTGCCTCGGGAGGTGGTGGATGCTCCTTCACTGGACATTTTCAAGCGGAGGCTGGATGACCCTCTTTCGGGTATGTTGTAGGGCTATCTTTCGGCTATGCTCCTGCAGAGTGTAGGGGGTTGGACTAGATGACCTGCAAGGTACCTTCCAACTCTAACATTCTATGATTCTATAAAGAGCTTTAGATTTGGGGTGGATAAGAAAATTCTTAATAGCTGCCACAACACTAGGGTTACAAGTCTTCACTATTTATCCTCCTAAGTGGTCAAACCAAATTCCTGGGAGGCTTCAGAAACTAGATTTGAATTCTGTAGTCTTAATACAACACATTAATCAAGGACAGTATATGGAAATACATAATCTTATTTGTCATTGATGTTCCACAGGAGAGGGTGGGACAGTGTTGAGTTGGGTCCCTATACCATAGAATCTAGAGCTTGGATTGCTGCCATCAAATATTGGCTATATCTTTGTTTCCAACCTCCTCCAAATAGTCTTATCACTTTTCTAACTGCTGATCCGTATGTTTCTAAATAGTCCCAATTAATAAGGGAGAAAATTAATTCTTTAGGTATTGACTTAGACTCCCTGGTTAATTCCACTGAATCCTATATATTCCAAATAATTCAAAGGAGAATTCAGGATATAGATTTACAATTAATAAAAGCTGGAGCAGAGGGGACCTGTTCCCCCCATTTCCTGGGTCTTGCTTTCCCACAAAGCTCTAGGGCTCAGTACTTTTCAAGCCTAACAATCCCTTCTCAACACAGAGCATTTATGCTGGCCAGATTCAATATATTTCCCTCGACTGTGGTCACAGGCAGATACAAGGGCATCCCCTATGATGCAAGATTCTGCAGATGTCTCTGCAAAGAACCTGACTCTGTTCAGCATATCCTCTTAAACTGCCCGCTGTTTACTCAGCTACGTTCACACTTGATTAGCCCTCTCCTTCAACTCTCTAAGGCTGCGACCAATAGAGGTATTGAATTCTTGCTAGCGGACAAAAACCCCGAAATTACTGAGCAGGTGGCAGAGTTCCTGGCAAATGTACTTAGGGGCCAAGGAAAAGAGGGAAGAAAAGAGGGAAAAGGAAGAGGAAAGGAGATGGAGAGTGAGTGAGAGAGATAAGGTGTATCTCAGATAGTTAAGCTTCTTAGGTCGAATCCACATGTGTGTTTCTTGCCGGTTTCCTGACATTTTCACTCCCGTCCCCCAACTCCAACTGGTGGCGCACAATAAACTAGGTGGTAACTTGTGGTTTGATTCCAATAGTACTCTTTTCTCTTTTTACTAGCTAGCCCCCCAAATAATTGTTACAATTTTTATCTTGTTTCTTGACCCCTTTTACAGACCAACTGAACATTTTTAAGTTCACTACTGGTGCAGTAAGAGCTTGCATTTCTCTCAAACGTTTAAATCCAGAAATGGTGTTTCTAATTTTATTCCCGCTTGGCTCTATTTCCTCATAGCTATATACCAGCCCTCAAATCTTATCTTCCAAAACTTATCTATCTGCTTTCAAAACATTTATTTTCTTGACACCCTCCCCCACTTTATGGGACATTTTAAAGTTCATTGGGGGGGGTATTTACTTCGAGCTGTAGGAGGCACACTCAGCAGTAAAACACCTTGGGTTTAGATCAGTGGGTAAATTCCTGCCCTGTAAATCAGGGCATTGTTGGTTTGATTCCTGCATGGCTGCTTTTACTCATTGCTATGTACCAGTCCTAAAAAATTTTATATTTGAAATTTATCTGTTTATTAAATTTATAATCACTGAGTATGACTGGGCAATGCACAGTCAGCAGCTTTTTCGAGTAAGAGCTTGCATTTGGCTCAAAAAGTTGCAATTCCTGCCTTGTAGTCATGGCGTTTCTCATTTTTAAGTTCACAGGGGTAAGAATGACAGACCCTAGGAGTAACAGAGGTGTTCTGGGAATGGAATGACTGGCCCCAGAGTGGAATGACAGCCCCTGGGGGTAGCAGCAGTGTTCTGGGACTGGAATAACAGGCCCCAGAGTAGAATGACAGCCCCTTGGGGTAGCAGTTGTGTTCTGGGAGTGGAATGACAGGCCCAATGGTGGAATAACATCCCCTTGGAGTAAGAGGAGTGTCCTGGAACTGGAATGCCAGGCCTATCATTACAGTGCCAGGACACATCTCCTACCCCCTGGGCTGTCATTCCACTCTGGAGCCGGTTATTCCAGTCCCAAAATACTTCTGCTACCCCAGGGCTACCATTCCACTCTGGGGCCTCTCATTCCAGTCCCAGAACACTCCAGTAACCCCCAGGGGCCATCGAGTGATGAACAATAGATTGTGACTGAAAAAAAGACAAAGTGGACAGCTCCCCTAATGCTAACTTGAAAGCAGAGGCGCAGCAGTTCTAAACCACATGGGATAACAGTGGCACCAAGCAGATTCTAGAATGCATTTGTAGATTTGGCCTTACTGTAACTGTTTTAATTACTGTGATACTCGAGATTACTGTTCTGAACTTTTATCACTTTGCCCTATTATTATTACTATATACAATACAAATTGTTACAAATCGCTGTACTCTGTTTCCTCTTTGTTGGCATATGGGCTGATTTGTACTGTTATCTTTTGTTTTTAAAGTTATTGTTATGCCAATAAAGCTTATTAGAATTGGATTCTATGATTCTATGATTAGAGGAGGGCAGGAAGCTGTTCCTGTGGGCAGCAGAGGATAGGACTTGCCATAACAGATTTAAATTAAGAGCGGGAAGGTACTGGCTGGATATTAGGAAAAACCTTTTGACTGTCAGAGTACTGCCACAGCGGAATCCGCTGCCTGGAGAGGTGGGTGAGCTCCCCCCCCCACTGGCAGCCTTCTTTAAGCAGCGGCTGGACAGACCCTTGTTAGTGCTGATCCTGCACTGAGGTTGGACTAGATGGCCCGTATGGCCCCTTCCAACTCTGTGATTTTATGGTTCGAAGTGAATCCAGGCAGTAAGAGGGTCACACACGAAGAGGGAAAAGAACTATCAACATTGGCCACAAACCGCAAGAAGCCTAGTTTCTGACATTACTAAACTAAACTATCAAATACAGGTGTTTTGATCTCTGTGATATTTTTGTCTCTGTAGTACTGATTACTCATTCACTCAAGAGTAATAATTACAAGAAGGTGACAGTGAACTCTATTATGTGCCTGATCAGTCAATACTCTGGCCATCAGTTTGATACTCTGGCCATCAAAACACAACTGATTCTTTTGCCACTGCCACCATAAAGCTAACAGAAACATGGGGGAAGGGGTAGGAGGTAACACACCATCACTCAGAAATGACCGTTGTGCAAGGAGAAAGAGGTACTGTTGGATCCCCAAGCATCGAGAATAAATCCACGTTTTAAGAAAAGCAAAATTTATTTCAAAGCGTTGACGACATACTCAAACACGTTCTTTGTTAGAACTGGGGATACACAGTTAGATCAAGCATAATAAAGGAACTTCAAAGAGATACAGGTCCAATGAATGACTTTCCCGCTGGCGGGCTAATGAAACGGTTGCGCGCCCAGTCCATGGGAACTAGGCAGGATATTAGACATAACACAGGTGCAGTAGTCATGGGAAAAGCAATAGCCAAGCATTACAGCATCTTCTCCCCCACACAACCTCCAGCAGTTATCTTTTGCATTCCAACGCAGGAGTAGGATGATAGAAACCAAGCCGGGTGCAACAGGGAAGGAATATGTACACAGAGGTCACAGACAACAGAATGGCAGCTTGCTGACAGGTACTCACAGAACTGTGAGCTGGCTGCATCCCTGGAAGTCGGAACGCTGCACCGTACGGAGCAGGTTTCCCTCCAGATCCCTTCATGGCAGAGGAAACACCGTCACACCAAAATTTAGCCACATGCCCATGATGCCCCCCCCACTCCTAAAGCCTGCAGTCTCAAGATGCTGCCGGGGGGGGGGGGGGGGGGGGCTTGGCACCACAACTGAGTTTCTGTGTTTGAGCCGCTGGCAGACTCAGCCTCCTGATCTCTCCACCAGAGCCCCTGGCCCACAGGCAGCTCACAGGCCCTTGCTGGAGGCTGAGCCACGCAGGCAATTTACGGGGAACAGGGAGGCTGTGTGTCTGTGAGACTGCAGATTAGCCCCCTTGCATGGCCCTCAGTCAGCTTACTAACCCAGTTCATGACAACTTTTCAAACCACCGGAACTTACAGCCAATTTAGCTTTGGCATCTCTGCACAGATGGGCATCTTCGGCAATGCACTCAGGGCATTGTTGCGTAAATCCCTGAAACGGAAGCACAAGACAGGGGGCTTCATGATGGATTTGTTGCATGCTGGCAGCGGAGTTCTTGTGTGCGCATATGGAGTCATGCACCTGCTATTGTTTCCCTTTCCTGTGGGTGGGGCTGACACTCACAAAGGGCAGTTCTCCCCACTGACAAGAGCATGGATGGCTGTGGGTGGTCCCCACTGTGCCTGACATGAGCTGCTTTTCTGCAAAGATTTGATACAAATGGAAAGCAAGAGAAAAGAAACCATAATAAACTGCAAAACCAAAAGAAAAAGGGGGAAAGCTTTCAAAAAATCAAAACCCAAGAAAAGAACCACTCCTTTGTTAATGACGACGACAGGGAACAGCCACCTCTTAAAGAAGAAGGTGAGTTGGCTTTGCACCACACTTTTCTCTACCGGAAGGCGTCTCAGGGTGGCTCACAGTCCCCTTCGCTTCCTCTCCCCACCACAGACAGACACCCTGTGAGGCAGGTGGGGCTGAGGGAGCTCTCTTGAGAGAACTGTGACTGACCCAAGGTCACCCAGCTGGCTGCATGTGGAGGAGGAGGAGTGGGGAATCAGACCTCCCGGCTCTCCGGATTAGAGTCCGCCGCTCTGAACCCCCACACCACCCTGGCTCCATGCCTTGCTGGCTCTCACCTTTCCTGCTGCCTTCCCTTGCTGACACCGGGGCTTTCTGGGATCTCCTCCACCCTGCCCCGTGGCCTGCGTTCTCACATCGTGAGAGTTGCATGGGACGGGATCTCCAGGTTGGTGGCAACCGTAAGCACCGGCCATTAATAGCCTGGATGTGGGCCTGGACCAGAAGCCTGTGGCTTCAGCCCTCGCGAATTTCACTATTTGTATTGGATTAAATCCTGGTTAATCTATCCTATGTAACCCATTAGTATTTGTCCTGTGAGTAGGCCTTTTGTCAGCCTTCTCCGTGACCTGGTTTTTCTGGGCTGAGGCTTTTCCTTCCCCCATTTTGTTTTGGTTTGGCTTCAGTCCTTGTGAAGCCACAGACTCCCAGGACAATGGCCCCAATTGGCAACCATGAGGAGAACCTATCCTGCAATGGAGGGTGAGGACAGAGGGAGCGACCCTGACCCAGGCACTGGGGGAGCCCCACAAGTCTGTTCGGTACTTACAGAAAGAGCAGTGATTTCAGCCCCGCAAAAACAGATGGGATGACCTCTGTGATGTTGTTGTTCTCAAGGATTCTAGAAAGCAAGATGAAGGAGGCTGCCTGAGGCAGAGAAGACGTCCAGGCCGGCAAGGGAAAGCCACGAGGCACTCCCGGGGCTGGCCTTTGACGCGGCAAATAAACTTCAAATGGGAAATCTGCTATGATCCAAAGACTTGATCCTCACCCCACGCTGCGTGGAAGACCGTTCCTTCTCTTCTGCAGCTGACTGCCGGCTCTCGTGCATCCAGGCCACCCTGTCCTTTTTAAGGGCATTCTCCCCCCCCCCTTTTTAAGGCCCTCCCCCCCCCCCCCCGCCGCCCTTCGCCCAGTTAGACTCTTTGCTGCAGCTATTTTTCTAATGTCCGTATAAAACCTCTGTTGGCCAGACTGCTCTTGCATTACAAATGTGTTTTTTCCTCTGCTTTCCCTTTCCTAGAAGTTAACCTGATTTGCTCATTTAAGCTCCAGATGGGAAGATCATCCCATCAGATCCCCTAATATCCCACCCCAAATAATAAAATGCCACTCACAGCCACTCAAGCAGATGCAAGTCCTGGAAGACACGAGGCTCCAGCTGAGTGAGACGGTTGGAACTTAGATATCTGGAAGAGTTCGGAAGGGGGGGGGGAGTAGTCAAACGACAAGCTTCTGACATGCATTTTAACTCCCCACTCTTCTTCCTTCCTAGCAGGGTCCCCTGAGGAGGCCTGTGACGGGGGCTTCTCTCCGGGGGCGGAAAGTGCTGTCTCCTTGTCAAGCCGCAGCCCCTCATCTATGGCCACCGCTCACGGGGTGTTCAGAGGTGGTTTGCCATGGCCTGCCTCTGCGTAGCCACCCTGGGCTTCCTTGCTGGCCTCCCAACCTGATATCACTATCTCTGTGAGCCTCACCGCCCCTGGGCCAAGAGGAAAACGCTGTACTCACAGCCACTGAAGATTGAAAAGTCCAGCAAAAGCGGAGCTTGAAATGGATTGGATGTTGTTGTCTTGTAAGAAGCTATATGAAAAGAGAATTTGAAAAGAGACGCTCTCAAGATTAATCCTGCTGCACCGTTGGCAGCAAACCAAATTTCCTGCCTGGAATTAAATGCAAAGAGTTTTGTTTTGTTCTGAACCAGGGTAAAGGCCATACATCTACAAAGCCCATCAGGATGACATGCCTGAGGTCAGCAGGCCAGAAGGCCCACCCGTGTCCCTTGCATGCTCCCATGCAGCAGCCTCATTATTCACAGCCCGGTCACCCCTTGGAGGTGGAATCCCTGCTGCTTCCCTCTCTCTGCCTGATTTGGCCCAGCCCACTGGCCACCCGCAGGGAGGGAGGGAGGGGGAGAGGCCCAGCGGGTCAGGCTCCCCCATGTCAGAAAGGGCAAGGCCAGATTCACGGTGCAGCCCTCAGCAGAATCACACCCTTCTAAACTCACCAGCCTCCATGGACTGTAAAGAGGGCACCTCTGCATACTCCACAGCGAGCAGGCCGGCCTGGCTGTGTTGCCCTTCGGTTAAGATTCTCCCCCCCAAGGGAATCCGTGAGTCTCTTCAAGAGCCCTGCACCCACGGCTTCTCCTGCCCCCGTGCTCTGTTGCCCACCCTCTGTAAGACACCCCCCCCCCGGAGTATCAGAGTCCAGTGGATAGGACAGAGAGTAGAAAATTGCAGTGACCACTGCAATGGACTAGCTGAGGGAATTTCTGCCCAGCCTTCTCCTGTTCTGCTGAGTCAGAGTTCTGGGCAAAGGAAACCAACATGCCCAACACAAGCTTTATTCAGCTTCTCTTTGCTGCAGAAAATAGTTGCAAAAAACTTTGAGAAATGGTTAGTCAAGCCCCACACTTTACCCTCTGAGTCGCCTGGAGAACTTTCTCCTGAAATTTCATTATGCATTCTCAACACTGTGCCAAGTTGAATCCAACAGAGTTTAATTTCTTTCCAGAGCATCAAATGGAGGCTTCTTAAACAGAGAATTCCATTCCCTGCACTTGTCTGCAAACTTAGAGCAGTTTTTTCCTCATACTCACAGCTTTTCGAGCTTTGCATAGACGGTAAACTGGTTTTCTTGCAGTAGGGGTATTTGATTTTTCTTCAGATTCCTAGAAAAGGTAGATGGACACCAGTGGCCTAGCAACTCAACAGGGTGCCTCAGCCAATTATCGCAGCACCTGTTTGTCACATGCACAGCACATTTCAAAGGGTACTCCTCCAAAAAGAATTTCCCTAAACATTCAACCCATCCTCAATAGAGGCTCAGACCTTTTTTTTTGGGGGGGGGGACCCTGTCAGGTCTTAAGAAAATTCTCTGCTTCAAATTTGGATGCAAAAGTTTTCTCTCTTATCCTTGTTACTCCTTACAGATGGGCAAGCTATGTAGCCAGCACCTCCCTGAGCATTAAGGGGAATCCATAGCTGGTTGTTTGAGAACATCCAGGTTGGGGTCTGGACCTTGAGCATGGCCCATGTTACTCACAGCTCTGTTAAGTTGGATAAGATCTGAGGAACGAAACTCAAGTCCCGACCTCCACAGTGTACAGCTGTCCCTACGCAGCTACATTCAGTAGGATGCTGAACAAGTGCTGAGAGAAAAAGAAAACAACAGTCAAACATGAACACATGAAGCTGCCGTATACTGAATCAGACCATTGATCCATCAAGGTCAGTACTGTCTACTCAAGGCTGGCAGTGGTTCTCTTGGGTCTTTTGCATCACCTGCTGCCTCATCCTTTAAACTGGAGATGCTGGGGATTGAACCTGGTACCTTCTGCATGCCAAGCAGAGGCTCTTCCACTGAGCCATGGTCCCTCCCCATAAGTCTTCTTTAGCAGGAACTAAACCCCTACCAGAGGCATTCCCCATATACTGTTCTTCAAAAAGATACAGAACTAGGGAGAGTCTGAAATTTGAGGGGGGGGGAGACAAAATTCTAGCCACAGCCTTATGAATATTAACCAGGCTGCTTAGTCCTGTGCACACACACCCTCACAGAATTGCTGGAAAACATCATGAAATACCACATGATAGAAATTTCAAGCCACACAAAAACCTAGGTTGGGAGACCAAACCCAGTCCTGCTACAAAGAGAGAAAGAACACAGCTAATCACTTCCACAGATTTAAGAAGAACAAATGACTGGAAAATAATATTTCTTGGAATAAGAAATAAGATTATCCACCAAACAGGGGTTTGCACAAAGCTGATGTTCAGCTACAGAAAGCAGAGAGCGCATAACAAAAACTCTACTCACTGCACTTGGCGGTCTTCTCTTTGTTTCTGCTCCTCTTCCTATTGCTGTCGAATTTTTCAGCTAAGAGCATTGGCCATCCAACGTTATTACCTACAAAGAAGACATCAGAAACAAGGTTGGCCATTCCAACATTCCCCAGAGCCTGGGAAGGGCCCCCACTGCCTCCCTCACTCTCTTTCTGGGCCACTTTCTGGTCTTCTCGTAGGTCTCCCTGTCCCTCCATTCTCCACCCACCTCTTTACATCATAAAGTGAACTTAAGGACCTGGACTTCAGCTGTCCTACACTCCAAGGCAGTTCACAGCTTGGGCTATATCTGTTATCACTCTGGCTGCAAACAAGCCACTGGTCTTCAGAAATGCAAAATTATGGGATGCAGCTTGGTTTGAATTTTGCTTTTGATTTTTCCAGAAATGAGAGGCCTGTCAGACACGGTGCATCTTCCGAGAGCTTTCAGTTATTTCTAGCTGCCGTTGCCATTGCCATCTGTCTGGAGATGGGTTCCAGCTGACATTCCTGAGGACAGCTGGACTGGATGGCTGCCTTTGCTGCGCAGCTGAGTGGCTGTGAAGAAGATGGTGTGTCCCCCCCCCCCAAACAAAGGAAAGCCATGGAAATCCCATTACCACAGTTCTCTTCATCAGCCCCATTCTTGCACTCTTTCGCCCCATTGCACTGGAGAAACTGAGGTAAGCAGACAGACACATTGCCACAAGGGAATTCCCCCACAGGGCAGTGGCCACGATCCAGCCTTGTATCAACCAGAGGGGACCCTGTCAAGCAGAAACACAAAATGGAAAAAACTAGAACTTGATTGCTGAAGTCTTTCCCTCTGTATCCAAAGCCCCAGCATACCCCCACCATTATGCTCCCCTCCTCGAGTATCTGGATGCTCAGTTACTGCCCTGCCATTGTTCATTTTTGTGGGGGCTGTGCTGTTCTTCAGAGAGTCTGCATGAAACATACACAGTATATCAGTGCTTATTTTTCCCATCTAGGTAAAATGAATTTCAATGAGGATAAATGTTAAGTTCTGCATTTAGGTAGGAAAAATCAAATGCATAATTATAGGATGGGGGAGACTTGTCTTGGCAGTAGGATGTGTGAAAAGGATCTAGGGGTCTTAGTAGACCATTCACTGAACATGAGTCAGCAGTGTGATGCGGTTGCTAAAAAGACAAATACGATTTTGGGCTGTATCAACAGAAGTATAGTGTCCAGATCGTGCAAAGTGATGGTACCACTTTACTCTGCTCTGGTTAGACCTCACCTAGAGTATTGTGTTCAGTTTTGGGCACCACAATTTAAGAAGGATATAGACAAGCTGGAATGTTTCCAGAGGAGGTCAGCAAAGTTGGTGAGGGGTCTGGAGACCAAGTCCTATGAGGAAAGGCTGAAGGAGCTGCATATGTTTAGCCTGGAGAGGAGACGACTGAGAGGTGATATGAGAACCATCTTCAAGTACTTGAAGTGTTGTCCTCTAGAGGACTAGCCTGATACCCGTGCTTCGCTATGGTATTTAAATTCCATAAATCCGGTTATAATACTGATTATGTGAAGTTTGAAATGTAACATTTGTTGTAGGAATTCTAATGGAGAAGACTGTAGTCTAAAAAATGAAGTGAGACATACATACTTTTTTCCCTCTCTTCTGAAGGACATGGGTGGTTCTGCCCTCAGGTGCTAGGATCACCAGGCTGCTTGGTGAGCTCACTATGGAGCAGGCCACATAGAACTGTCCATTGAAGAAGCAGTTGTCTGTTAAGTCAGCTCCTGCCACCTTCCATGAAAGTGATGGCCTCTCTACTTGTGTTCCTGGATTGTTTTTATCATATGGAGACTGTGTTGTTCTGAACACCTCAGGGTGATCTCGCTGGTACTTGGCCTATGCAGCTCAGTGCCCCACAGGAGTACTATGAGCAAATTTCTTTGCTGCATTCCTAAGTTGCTTCCTCCTTGTAGCATTGGTGTATCTGGCTCGATGTTTGCCAGGAGCTTTCTTGGGGGCAGGAAGAGGTGAGAGGTGTGGGGGTAGTTGGTGCGAAGGAGTGGTGATGTGGTGGACATTTCTTCAGGTTCGTGAGGGAGTCACACATCAAAATGGCTCCTAGAAATGTTGCCAGAGGCACTGCCTTTACCCTAGGGTAGCCCCAACAGCAGGAGCACCGCACTTTCTAACCTGAACCAGAAATCCACAAAACTCAGGCCAAGGAAGACCTGAAAACATAGAAAACAAGCCATAAACAGGGTCTCCATTTTCAGGTTTCAAAAGGTAACCTCAGAGCAAGCCTCCACTCTTCCCCCTCCACCCAGCAGAGATATGCTTATGGAATAACAATGGGTTCCATCAGGTGAAGTATCTACATTTCTAAAATCTATTCAGAGGCTACCTGGCGAATAGCCCTGTCTCCAGAACCTCACCCATCCCTTTTTTGTGTCATCTCATGTCTATGTTCTTTGTCTTTCCTTGCCCCATCCCTCGGGATACAAGATAAACCAATCAAGCATACAAATTATTAACGGTCCTTCCTGACACTAATCAGGGACCCATCTCCCATCTTTTGTCTGTATCTGGGATCCTATTCAGCTACATTGGCAGGGCCATCAGTGGTCAGAAAATCCATTCAACTAGCCCCAGTACTGTCATCCAACACCTAGCTAAATCCAATCAAGATATTGTCAATCTCATCATCGCCTGACTCTGCCCCCTCTGGAAGCTCATTGGTCACATCTAGGCCATGCCCCTCCTGACAACTGCACCCCCTGGGACACCTGATTGGCCCAGGTAATCTATTGTTCTCACCTGAGACCAGCCTCCATGGCCACTCATTGGTCTGCATTGTCTTCCAGTGTCTATATTCATCTAGGCCCAGGGCCTCAGACTGGGTGCTTCTGCCCTGATGCCAACTGGCAGTCCACCCCTAGACCCTTTGGGTTTAGGCCATAATCCTTTCTTCATGGACCTCTGCACATCTGGACAGGTAGTATCACCCCATACCCCTCTATCAGCTATCAATCACCTCTGCTTCCTTAGTTATGTACTGTGTGTGTGAATGCTTGATTTTATGTTTATAAGTTTAAGAATCCTTCAGTAAAGAAATCACTGCTTTAGTAATCTAGTCTCTGTGTCTATTTCTGTGATTGGATAAAGTGGGACTCTGGTATATAAAGGTCATGATCCTGTAGTTATGCCAATTGCACATTAATATCATAATTCCTCAATCTTTTATTAAAGAGATATAGCAATTTGGCTAACAGAAAGGTCCTTTATTATCTCCCCATGAAAATTCATTAACTCAATTGCCATGCCGGCAGGGCCGGCCCTATCACTAGGCCTGCTAGTATCTCACCTAGGGTGGAGATACTAGCAGGGCACCAATTCCTCTGCCGCCCCCCGCCAAAAGCCCCCACCCTGCCCAAAGCTTTCATTGCGATGCCGCTCTGTGCCAGCCGCCATGTGCCCTTGCCAGCTCCTGGGGACCACTCAGTGGACTGCCCAGAAGGGGGCGTGGAGCCTCCGGAGCCCGCCCCCTTCCCACGTGCAAAAGCGCCCCGGGGCTTCGCAGCTGCTTGCCAAATCTGGCTTCCGCAGCAGGGACTGGGGGGGGGGCAGGCTGCCCGGAACTTCAGGGCTGGCTCTCGATCCAGGTAGGGGACGGGCCGAGGGGCCTCCGGCTTCCTCCTTAGCAAAAAAGCCGCCTGCTGCAGGCAGGCGGGCAGGCAGGAGGCGGCGGCAGGGAACGGAGCCCTCTCTCGGCCAGCCCTGCTGCTGGGACCCAGCTGGGAGGTCTCCAGGCCCCACCGGGAGGTTGGCATCTGAGGGGGGTGCCACGAGGCAGCCTAGCCTAGGGCGCAGAAACCCCTCGGGCCAGCCCTGCATACCGGCTTTTTTTGGAAAATGTCTATTCAGGAGTCTTGAATCGCTGATTTCTGTAACTGTCCTTAGCCATCTGCAGTCTCTATTAACTGTGTTTTTACCTCAGAACATTGACATCCATAACTAAGCAATCAGAGGGAGGTGGGTGCAAACAGGCAGGTTTTACCTTAGCACTCTGAGCTACACAGATGACCAATAGGGGGGGGCAAGGAGGCAGCAGCCTGCCAGGCACATGGAAAACAATTGGGGGAAACACATTTTGCCCCCTTTTTACCTCCTTAGGGTACCCCTCTTTTTTACAAAAATGTTTTTCATTTATGTTACATTTAAAAAGTGGGACGTAACTACATATTCAAAACACAATCTGAGCAATCAGATATTAAGCAAGTTTCTATGAACTAATTTTCTAGAACCCACATTGTGAGAAGTTAAATAACGTAATAAAGGAAACCAGTTTTCTACAAATTTTGGGTATGTTTCCATTGTGGGTGGGAGTGTGGCTAAGCTGGACCAGCAGCACCGCTAAGGTGATCCTGCTGGGGCGGCATCCCTGATGGATTAAAGTACCCTGGCCCTGCTCCTACACCTGACAGACACCAGCCTGTCTGGTGTTGGGGGGGATTGTATTTAAAGACATTGGGGAGGCTGGGCCAGCAGCAGGGCTAAAGCAATCCTGCTGAGCAAATCTCCCCGGTGGCTGTAAGCATCCCACCTCCTCTCCTACACCTGACAGACAGCTGCCTGTCAAGTGTGGGAGGGGGAGGGGGGAGGAGTATTAGAAGCTCCTGTGGAGGTGGGGCTGGCAGGATCATTAAGGTGCTACTGCTGAGGCAGTCTCCCTCATGGCTTTAAGCACCCTGCAACCGCTGCTGCACCTGACAGACAACCACCTCTTAGGTGTAGGAGGTGGGGTGTGTGTGTTGGAAGCCATCAAAGAGGCTGGGCCAGTTACTGCACCTCACAGGTGGTTGTTGGCCATTCCTGATTTCCTCAGCTGTCATGAGCTCTCTGCAGTCTCCTGTAACTGTCTTTTTTTACCTCATAACACTGAACTCCGCAGCTGACCAATTAGAGTGTGAAAGGAGGCAGCAGCCTGGCAGCCACATAAGAATCAATGGGGGGAGCACATTTCCCCTCTTTTGACCCCCTTAGGGGTTGAATTTCTAAAAATCCCTTCTTAGCAAGTATCTACATCATGGTAGGAGCACTCTCCCCAAATTTCGTGTTTCTAGGTCCAGGGGGTTGGCCTGGGCATTGATTTTACGATGAGAGGACTTTTTTATATATATATACATAGACTAGGCTCGTTGTGGGAAGAAATATAACAAGCTCTAGAAGGAAGCTCCAGGTGAGTGTCCCGGCTGTGGCTGGTGGGGCAGCAGAGGGAAGGGGAAAATAGAGGGAGGCAAGCCATGTTTATTTCCTTCTGGTTAGCTATAAGGCAGGGCTGTCTCAAGTCGGTAGTATGGGAGGACAGCCTCATGGTAACAGGTATGGTTCCCTCCACCCCTGACTTATGTTGATTTGGGGTTATGCAGCAGTGGCAGCTAAGGTAGAAAAGCACCTCCTCCTATGCCATGTTTTCTGGGTTCCAAGGGTCTGGAAAGTGGTTCCATTGCCAATTACATGGTTGCCAACTCTGGGTTGGGAAATACCTGTATATTTGAGGGGTAGAGCCTGGGGAGGGCAGGGTTTGGGGTGGGGAGGGACCTCAGTAGGGTATAATGCCATAGAATCCACTGCCCAAAGCAGCCATTTTCTCCAGGAGAACTGATCTTGGTCATCTGGACATCAGTTGTAATAGCTGGAGATCTCCAGGTGCCGCCTGGAGGTTGGCTTATGTTAATTTGGGGTTATGCAGTGGCAGCTAAGGTAGAAAAGCACCTCCTCCTATGCCATGTTTTCTGGGTTCCAAGGGTCTGGAAAGTGGTTCCATTGCCAATTACATGGTTGCCAACTCTGGGTTGGGAAATACCTGTATATTTGAGGGGTAGAGCCTGGGGAGGGCAGGGTTTGGGGTGGGGAGGGACCTCAGTAGGGTATAATGCCATAGAATCCACTGCCCAAAGCAGCCATTTTCTCCAGGAGAACTGATCTTGGTCATCTGGACATCAGTTGTAATAGCTGGAGATCTCCAGGTGCTGCCTGGAGGCTGGCTTATGTTAAGTTCCCCGGTGTTCCTGATGGAGAGAGGCTGATTGTATGGTGATGTATGGTGCTGGACTCTAATAGGGCTTTTAGTAGTATTATCAATGTATTAGTGTAGGAGGTGGGAGTGTGGTATCGGCTGCTAGAGTGCAACTGTAAGTGTTAGTTGTGTGTGTTATTGATTGGAGGATCAGGCTAATGTTGGGATGGGGAGGGGAAGTGGAGTTTTCTGAGTTTTACTTAGCAACTGATCAACTGGTCTGGTGTAATTAGATTGAGCTCTAAGCAGCTTGGAGCAGTAGAGACAGTGGAGTTTGGTGGCCTAGATTCTACGACCTGGCGGTCTGAAGCTTCCAATGGAGACAGCCAGTGGAACAGGACATGCTTGAGCGACAAATTCTGGTGCTCTTGGGGAGGGGCAAGTTTAGCGGTGGGCCTAGGCAGTTGGAAGAGGGAAGGTCACGGAGTACTAAGAGAGCTCGGTGCCCTTCCAGCCTTCGGCCGATCCCAAGGGTGGCTGGCAGTGGGGCCGGGGTTGGAATCCCCCCCCCGTCATTGGTGTTGTGCAACGCCAGGTCCATTAACAACAAAGTCACAGTCCTACGCGACTTTGTGACGGGACATCTGGCGGACCTGGTGTGCATGACCGAGACCTGGGTGAGAGATGGGGAGACCCTGAATCTTACCCAGCTAGCCCTTCCAGGCTACTCGGTCCTCCACCAATCACGGAAGAGGGGACGGGGGGGGAGTTGCTATTCTCATTCGGGAGGCTTACTCCTTCAGGACACTCCCGTCTGTAGAGATTGCGGGCTTAAAGCTTGCTGTTGGGGGCTGAGGAGAGTTTGGCGATTTGGCTGGTGTACCGACCGCCTAATGCACCGGGCAATAGTCTGCCGTCCCTGCTGGAGGCCATATCAGGCTGGGCATTGGATCACCCTCGACTTATTGTCTTGGGTGATTTCAACATCCATGCTGAGGACGCGACCTCCAGCCAGGCTACGGACCTAGTGGCGTCCATGGCGGCACTGGGACTCTCACAGTGTGTATCGGCCCCTACGCATCAGGCTGGTCACATGCTTGATTTGATCTTTGCAGCGGGTGTGGAGGTGGACCGGATCACTGCTGAGGCAGTGCCATGGTCGGACCATCTAGCACTGAAGGCCCGTCTGAGCATTCCACCTCAACCCTGTATAGGCGGTGAGCGTTTTTTTGCTCGCCCGCAGAGCTTGATGGACCCGGAGCGGTTCCAAAGGGCTTTGCAGGACCCCCGCCCCCCTGGCGGCTCGTTGGATAAGCTAGTGGAGGACTGGAATGTCTGACTCTCCGCGGCCATCGACGAGATCGCTCCCAGGCGTCACCTTTGCTCTCGCGTTAGGCACGCCCCTTGGTATACCCAGGGGCTGCGATTGCTGAAACGAGAGCTCAGACGATTAGAGAGACGGTGGCTCCGCGCTCGTAACGAGGAAACAAGAACATCTTATAGGACGTTTATGAGATCCTATGAGATGGCAGTCAAGGCCGCTAAGAAGGAGTTCTATGCGGCTGAGATTGCGTCTGCGAGCTCACGCCCGGCCCAATTATTTAGTATAATTCGGAATTTGACAACCTTGCCTCAGGGCGAGCAAAAAGTTAAGGAATTGGACATCGGCTGTGAGGCTTTTGCAAGCTTTTTAGCAGATAAAGTCTTGGGGCTCCGTCGTGACCTCTCCGCCACAATTGAGACAGTCCGTGAACTTGAGGCCCCTTGCACGTCTTCGAGGCCAGGTTTAGAATGTTTCAATCTGCTCAGTCTGGA